CGCCGACAGCAAGCGCGTGTTCTGGGGAAAACTTGACAGTCTCGTGCGGAGGATCCCTTCCAAAGAATGTGTGTATGTCCTACTGGACGCCAACGCGCGGACGGGAGATAGGTTGGACTGAGGGGACGGAAGGGTAATAGGAATGTACGGGCGTGATGAGCTCAACGACAATGGCATGCTACTGTTGAACTTCGCAACGGAAAACAGGCTAGCTCTCACGAACACGTTCTTTGAGACACGCAAGGGCGGAATATGGCACACATACAACGGTGTGTCGGGAAACGATTGCAAGCGCCTTGACTACATCCTGACAAGGCAGGCACATCACGGCCGAGTATCTAACGTGGTCGTCATCCCCCAGCCGGTTCGCCCAGTCAAAGCAGACTCAGACCACAATATGGTAGTAGCCACCGTCAACCTCGGTGGCAGGCTTGCCCACAACCGTGCAGTCCGGACTAAACCGAAACAGAAGCAATTCAACCGACGGGAATTGCAGTTCGAAGCAGCACGGTGTGCGGTGACTAATCGGTTCCTCCTCAACCTCGACACACGACTGGACGAGCGAACAACCACCGCCGCGGAATTGGCGACCGACTTTACCAATGCTCTCCTCGACGCAGCGCGGACGACCCTGGGGGAGGAACCGCGGAGACGCCGCACGCAGGAGTGGTGTGAGACCCCAGAGACGCGAGCAGCGCTGGAGCAGGCCCTTACCAAACGTCGGGAAGCGCGCCGGGCGATGAGGGGCAACTGGAAGTCAGCGACGTGGAGGGTTCTCAAAGCAGCGTGTAAGGGAGTGGCTACAGCAGTCGAAACGGGCATTTATGCCCACCTGGACGGATATGTGACTGAGCTCGAAGAAATCTACAAAGATCGCGACATGCGAGGACTGTACCAACACCTCAAGAGATCAGTGGGCCTCAGCGGCAGACAAGCGGGGGGACAGCAGTTCGTCGCGGATGAGAACGGCGTGTTGCTCTGGAACAGGGACGACATCCTCCAGGGGTGGGCGAGATTCTTCAGCACCCTACTCAACACCAAATCCCCCACCGTGAACCCAGACATCATCGAACGAATGACGCAGCGGCCAGCGACACGTGACACTCAACGGTTGGGAGATGTGCCAGAACTCGAGGAGGTGGCACGGGCAACGAAAGGCCTCAAGAACTGGAAGGCACCCGGCCATGACTCCCTCCCTGCCGAGTTGCTCAAGATCGATGACGACGAACCCTTCGTCCTGGGAAACCTCCATACCATCCTCGTCAAGGTGTCGAACGGAGGAGATATTCCGCGAGAGTGGAAGGATGCAACCATCAAGGTGCTGTACAAGAAGGGTGACCGGTCCAACTGTAACAACTACAGGGGGATTTCGCTACTATCTCACGTAGGCAAGGTCCCCATCAAGATCATCACCAACCGTCTAAGCGCCATCTGCGAAGCCAACAACATTCTCCCGGAGGAACAGTGCGGATTTCGACCCGGGCGATCCACCGTCGACATGCTGTTCGTCGTGCGCCGCCTCCAGCAGCTGGGGCGAAGAAAATACCGCTCTACATGTGCTTCGTCGACTTGAACAAGGCGTATGATTCGGTGGACCGAGAGATGCGATGGAAGGTGCTGGCCAGGGCCGGGATTCCCGCGAAGCTGATCGAAGTCATCCGCCAATTCCACGATGGAATGCGGGCCCGGGTGCGCATGGACGACGGAGAACTATCGGACTGGTTCTTCGTGACACAGGGCATGCGACAAGGATGTGTGCTATCCCCACTGCTGTTCAACATCTTCTTCGCTGAGGTCCTCGAGGTCGTTGTCATCCGATTCAGCGAGGATGATGTTGTTCTGCGGAGCCTGGTGTGCTTGGAGGAGGGGAAGACGGAAGCGGGGGGGGGGGAGGAGACACCCCTTGACCGAGTACGGAGGGCAATATAGGGGATGCTATATGCCGATGATGCCGGCGTCGTATCGAGGTCTGCAGAAGGACTGGCGAGAATGATGACCATCATCGTTGTGACCACGTGTTGTGTATGCCTGGTTTTTGTCATCCTCCCCTCAACCTCTACTTGATTAGTACTGCAGTCTAGTCTTGATCGTCTTCCATACTGTTCGGTGTATCTGGCCGCGAATCAATGTGTCCGTGTTTGGTCTAGGTAGACCGCGGGAGGGTGCGGGGGGGCGGTCGCTACTCTTCGGTTACAACCCCACGTCTCGTCTCCATTCAACCGTGATACAGCGTGCCATAGCCTGATTTCCTTCCAACATGGTTTTTTTCTTTGGTGGTCGTGTCCTACCATTGCAGCGGGTGTCTCGATATATTGTGATTGCAATGATACATCAGTAGTAGTCTAGCGTAACCGTACGGCGAACATTGATAACATGGCTCTTCGTGTGTTGTCAACCAAAGTGACTAGTCGGGGGTCGGGGGGAGGTACAGATGCATGTTGGTTTGCCTCATGGTCAGGTGGGGTCGGTGTCTCGAGAACCAGGCGAATCTCACGTGGCTAGCCGCCGTTTTTGGCTGGGTATTTCGTGTTTCGTGCTCGCTCGGTTCTCTTTTTCAACGTACTCCCGGAAACGGAGAGGCATGGATACCGTCCATGACCGCTCCCCTTGTTTCCACCTACCTCGTTTCATCATACGTAGACTAACCCTAGCTGCTGGTGCTGGCNTGGCTGGGGTGTTTCGTGTTTCGTGCTCGCTCGGTTCTCTTTTTCACATACTCCCGGAAACGGAGAGGCATGGATGCCGTCCATGACCGTTCCCCTTGTTTCCACCAANGGTTGCCACCGGTGGTTCAGTTGGTACCCGCAAAACTTTTGCCTCATCAATGGGTTTGTGCAAGAAAAACTTCACGATACATAGGCCTACTAATCGAAAATCGGGACGATTAGGGGGGGGCGGGTGGGGGGGGCGGGGACATATACCCATGTATCCCCGGGTTTTCCGCCGAGGCATCGGCGCCTCGAGGGGGGGCGGGGGGCGGGGGGCGTACTCTTATGTTTTGCATGTCTTAGCGGTTAGACCATTGACCACGCGTCCTCGAGAGGACGGAGCATTGTTCGCACAGGACCGATCACCGATGGCCATTCGTTCCTTTCTACTTTGCCAAAGGTGGCTCAAAAATGTCTTCCCTAGTCTGTCTATCCTAACGATATCCCTTCCCGCCTTCTCAACCCACCTCCTATGCCCCAGTACAGCTACCGTCCTTTCCTCTCTATTCCATGCCTCAAACATC